TATGAAAACTAGTTCAGCATGTGCTCTGAGAGACCCATAAACCCAGTGTGTCTGACATGCCACTTTGTGCTGCTTAACAACACAATTACAACAAAAAATTGATCCTACTAATTGTCTCTGTAGCCAAAACCTGCAGTTTATTGTTTTTATTTTGTGTAGACTTTAAAAAAGAAAAGAGGAAATTGACAAAATAACATAATTTTTAGGACGTTCTTATCTTAAAACTGACAAATACATCAGGCAAACAGAGAAATACAAAGAATTATTTTTAAAAAGGCCTCATTTTGACACAGCGCCAAACGTAGAGCCAAATGTAAAGTGAATACTGTATGCAGCTAAATAACATAACTCCATCTTAATGTTGGGTGTAACGTTACCGGGCATATTAATAACTGTCAGATAGCAAGTTCCCTATGGCAACATTATGAAGTCTATGTGTTTTCAACATGGGGAAAAAAAAGTAAATAAAAAATCAACTAAATGAAATAAAGCAATTAAAATTAATCATAATAGCAATTTTTTTATTTTACCTTCTTATGTAAACATTCTTACGAAACTGATCCAATTATTTTTCCCTGTTAAACAACCTGAATAGAAACAGTAACTCACTGATTATAAATGTAAAACCCAGTATTGGTCTGTTTATCGTCTCACTGCAGTTTTATCTGTTTCTTGTACAAGCCGCTCTGCTTCCTCATGTACATCCATTTTGTTTCACTGACTGGGTCTTTTAGCAACACATTTAAGTGTGAAAACAACCAGATTGTAAAAATACAATAATGCGGTCCAAGAGTTGAAATATTAGTAGAAAAGTAGGTGCTCACCGTGAATTTGAAATAAAGATACCAGAGCAATAGTCCATAAAAATGAAATGCGCTCCATCCTGACTCGCTATGAGGTGAACGAGGAAATAAGACACATAAGAGATACGGTGTTTGAGGAAGTGACACTTCTCTTCCTCTTTTAGAAAATAATTAACTCGTCAGTTAAAGCCCTGCACTGTACATGTCCGTACGCTAAAAGGATGTATGATATCAAAAATGTGCTAAAAGGGGCACAACTGTGTGGAGAAGCTGTGGTGACTTTCTCAGTGTTTTCTTATTTTCAAATCGTCTACTAACATATACATACTCATAAAGTTTACACTGAATGCTAGTATACTAAAATCCAAAAGCATTCAGACTTGAAGTGATCTACACTTGACTTGTTTAGGTGCATATATGCTTCTTTATCTATGCTACTGCCTCACATTCATAGATGTGTTCAGAACCATTAACTCCAGACCAAACTACATTAGGCAGCAATAAATATGATAAAGCAAATCAAATCAAATCAAGCTTTATTTATATC